ATATCTTGTAGTTACTTGCAGTCTTACTACCATGTATCCCTTTAAGTTATAGAGAATAAAATATAACTTACATAACTTTTAATGCTCCGCCTGTGTTTTCTGGTTGCTCTAACTAGGCCATGCATTGATCTACCTACAATAATAAGGGAAAATAAGTGATTTTGAGGCAATATCATACATACAAATGACTCTTGAGACTCAAGAAGAGTCAGACAATAGTAGCGTTAAATATTTTAAAAAGATCAAGTTTGTTAAATATTTGTTAAACCAGCTGATAAAGATCAATGTCAACTATTCCTATCACTATTCTGAATAAAGAGCTCAGCTCTACAAAATTAGTGTTTACAAGTAAAAATATTGGTGTTACTGTCAGCGAGCCTGTTCCTAATGGAATATTTTACAAATATCAAACTTAATTAAGAGAAACTCACCAATTATTAAGATGTTGAAACACATGTTGTATTTCAATAATTAAACTGACAACACTCAATATCTGAAATAGAAAATGAATGTAAAATTTACTAAAATAAAAAAATAAATAAAGGGATATTTCGCTACTAAACAATTATAGAACTGCATCCCTTTTAGTATGTATATAGATATAATATGAAATGGGGTTTTATGTCGTACTTTTCTGTACCTGATTGGGTTACAAAGACAGTATGCAGTGTACAATGTGGGCAATTTTTGACGATTGAAGCTTTAGCTTCCTCATTGTTAATTTCCTCAATCAGCAAGCACAACCTGTGGCACAAGGGACATCCCTTAAGGTGGCACGAATAAAGAATCAATCTTGGAGGGCAAGGTAGTTTGTTGACTAATAAAGAAGACTCACCATTTAACAGCTCACTGGAACATAATTTGATATCTATAGACCAACAAGTTTCTAATTGATGAGAAGATTTCATACCTGTAATAAATCATTTATTCAAATTAAATAGCAAAAACAGGAATGTTTCCTATTATTTTATGCAAGTGACTCCACTTAGCATACATGATCTGATAAATTTGTTATGCATGTCCTGTTCTGGGCCATTTAGTATTCAACCCACTAATACACAGTAAGTAATGTATGTATCAAATATTGTGTCCCATATAAGATTTGCTGTATGTCAGGAATTGCAGGGTATCTATTGTTTTAAATGGACTAGTAGATGTAGTGTCTTACCATTTTTAAAAGTACTTTGGATTGGTTAGCATAAATTATGACAACTCTGGATGGTCATTCATTCTAGATGAAGTTTGTTAAATCAGGGTTAGTGGATTCACCTGCAAATAAAAAAGAAACTTAACATAACATCTGCATTTGAATCATGTCAAAAGTTTTTTTTTCACTTGCACCAGACTCTGAAATATAACAATTAAGGGACTACATCCCTTAAGTAACAGAAAGTCCCCTCACAAAAATTCACAAGATTCCCCATTGCTTAAAACTAGGCCTAACAGTTGGAATACCTGAGAAATAATTCAAGTAGTTTTCAGAAAAACCAGAAAGTTAATTATAAAAAAAACTCACCATATATAAAAAAAAGATCTGTTTGTCAAAAGCAATTTAAAACTTTGCATACTAATAACTTCTCTGAACTGCTGACACTGTAAAAAGAATAATAATTTTTAGAATACAAACAACATTGTGTTGTGAATTGTTTTAAAAAGTAAATTTTTACTAAGTATTAAAGGGCTGTCATGCTTTACTCATAAATCACAAGACAAACTGAATTCTCATATTAGGAAGCTTGTTCTAAACTAACAATTATAGGACACCATTCCTTTAATACCCCCACCCCACCTCCCTATTTCCAAACCTGTCTACCCTCATCCCTACCTTAATGTCACTAAATTAACAATTATAGGACACAATCCCTTTAAACCTCACCCCCACCCCCCTATTTCTTAACCTGTCTACCTTCATCTCTACCTTAATTTCTTATTATAAACTAACAATTATTACCCCCACCCCCTAATTGTAAACCTGTCTATCCTCATCCCTACCTTAATACCATATTCTAAAACAACATAATATAGGCCACCCTCTCTTTAATATCTCCACCCCCTAATTCTAAACCAGACTACCCTCATCTCTGAAGGATACAAATTACTTTTTTTTATTTGCATAAGTCTTTTGCTCTATGGGCCTAATTGCACAGCAGTTTAAAATTTTGTATAGCACTTTTTAACGTTGATACGGTATGTACAGGTTCTGAAAAGTATCATTAAACTAAATGATTTTTGAATTGTAATTCAAATACCAGTGCAAAATATAAATACAAACAAAAGTTGGCCATAATGATACTCCTGATATCTTCCATGTTATTTTTGAAGTCATGAAATAACTTATATTTGTCATATTTACTCTCGTGACATTGAGTCTAAATTTTCAAGGTCACGCGCGTAAGAATCTAGATTGAGAAAAGTCCAAACTAACCGATAATATTTAAACCTCTAGTATTATACCCAGAAAACCAGTTTATATTCCTTACAAGTTTCCAATCAAAATTTGAATGAAGAAAATGGCTTACCTTCTTGAGAATAAGTGTCCAATATTTGTCACTCCTTCCACAAGTATCATCGTTGAATCCATTATTTTATAGAAAAATCACAAAATAATCTAAATCCATCCAGAATGATACAGATAGTATCAAATAAATCCCAATCCACAGATATTAGTCAAAGATTTAGCACTGAATATATCGAAATAATTCAAAACCATCCAGAATCCAATATAGAATATATCATAAGTCATAAGTCACGACTGACAAAACTGAAATCCCGCTCAGAAGTGCGCACCCTTGGATATGGAAATGATGATTTTACGTTAAACTCCTCCCACTTTTTGACTGACAATTTGAATTTCAGCCAATCAACAGCCAAAATTCTGCATCCACGTGCTCTTCGTGTCAACTCTTCCCGCCAAAAAATTGTTATGACTTTCTGATGGTTTTAAGCTGTCACCTTCTCGTCAATTTGGTGAAAGTTGATAAATTATTAAAGGAAAAGATCCACCAATATTTCAGAGTGGCTGGTTGAAAGAATTTTGAATAGAGGTACTGGACTTAAAAATCCTTTGTAAAGTCTAAAACCTGTTCAAAAATCTTTGGATCAACGAATAAAGTATATTTCGTTAAGTTACCGAGGGAAAAAATTGCCAAATTCACATGTTTGTGACGTAAATTACACGGAAGGGGACCTTTAATTCTTGACAGAACAAATAACATGATTGCTAGATTCGCGCCAAATATTACCCCGAAATTTAAAGGGATAGCGTTACTGTTACAATAAAATTCGCCATTATTCAAGTTTTAGGCCTAAATCAGGCTACCCTCAATGAAGATAATTAGAAAATTTACTGAAAAGCTTTGACTTTGTGACTACATATTAATGTGGCAATAAATTCTGGGACGAAAAAGTGCAAAAGATAGAAATATGATTGCAATAGAACAGATTAAACCCCAGTAAATTTAAAGATAGTGGATCAAATATGGCCATATTCAGTATACGGTTGGTGAAACGAGATCCTCATTGTTAGATCATTTAAGCCTGCCTACATACAAAGTCGTACGAAAATTGCGAAAATCGTTTGAAAACTGAAAGAGCTATACCAATTTCAACATAGACGTACGGGCCCAAGGCCTATTTGGGAGTTAGAAAGGGGGGGGGGGGGGGGGGGGGGTGTTTGAACGAAATTTTGCTACGATCGAGACGAGTGGTACAAATAAGGAGCAGAATGACTCCAATATTTTAGAACACATTTATAATATTCATGTTTATTAGTGTAAAGTTATGTTAGTGAACTAAATGTTGGATAATGGTACATCGAGATCAAAGGGTGACGTCAAATTTTAAGTTATAATAACACTGCAAAATCAATTGATGTGATTTAATTATTAGTGGTCACTGACAAATAACCCATCATGACAATGGAATTGAGAGCAATATCAGAAGTTCCAGGAGGTTTTATCAGTTCCCATTATCAGGATTCCTTTCCCATTCCCCCTCCCCTACTCCACAGCTTTCATTCATACCATACTATCTCACACTAGTCCTCATTCGAAAAATCAAATCACCAAGTTGCTGTCTCCCTTACTTTTTGTACGTACGGAGGCCCATTAAAGACTTACACCAATCGACATATATATAACCTATATCAGAATATTACCCGGAGTTTACGGACAATTTGCGAGACTTAGCCGTCATAGAAACTTTTTTGAAATTCTCACATTTATCTTCATTCGATATATCAAATCACCAAATTGATGTCTCTTTTATTTTAGTACGGATGACCATTAAAGACATACACTAATTGTCTTTAATGGGCCTCCGTGCAAAAAGTAAGGGAGACAGCAACTTAGTGATTTGATATTTCGAATGAGGACTTGTTTGCTGTGTGAGATAATATAGTATGAATTTCAAAAAGTTTCTATGACGGTTAAGACTCGCAAATTGCCCGTAAACTCTCATTAATATACTCATATAGGCCATATATATGTCGATTAGTTTATGACGTCTTCAATGGGCCTCCGTACAAAAAGTAAGGGAGACAGCAATTTGGTGATTTGATATTGAAAGAATTCTTATGTGTATTTATCATAAAATTTTTTAAGTTATTTTAACAATATTTAAGTTAGAAAATCAGATTTCATATCGGGTCGATTTGCCGCAAATGTGTATGCTGAGACGATTCGACTCGATTCGACCCGAATCTGTATGCTAGTTGAATGTGTTTGCTAAGTTCAGCCCGGTTAACTTCCGGTAGAAAAAAGAATTTTATTCTTAGAAAATGATTTATTTGTAAAAAAGCATTAAAAATCAAATATTTTCTGAAACAATTCTATAATAATTAAGGTATAGCCGCCACCAAAGGTCGAGCCATGAAGAGAAATGGAAATCTTGTTGAAAAGAGGAGCAGGACACAAGAAACTCAAACATCTGTTTTGGAAAATGGTGGTCCAATTCCAAATGTAAACAAACCACAGACGACGGATCAGAATTACAAACTTTCAATGACTATACGTCAGAAGTTAAATTTACAAGCAAAACAATATTTTGTTGCTCTACGTCCTTGGTCATTCTCAGCCTCTGTGATTCCAGTGGCCCTGGGTTGTGTTTTAGCTTACAAAACTACCGGCGAATTTTCAGTTACAGTATTTATTCTGACTCTTATAACTGCACTTTCAGTCCATGCTGCGGGAAATTTAGTTAACACATATTTTGATTATTTTCATGGAATTGACAGTAAAAAGAGTGATGACAGAACATTAGTTGATAATATTTTATCGCCAAATGACGTGGCTTGGTTGGGTGGAGTGTTTTATGTTGTTGGTTGTTTTGGATTTTTGTGTTTGACATTTACATCTCCGAGTAAAATGGAACATCTGGCACTGATATATTTTGGAGGATTATCAGGAAGTTTTTTATATACTGGAGGACTTGGTCTCAAATACATTGCACTGGGAGATTTGTTAATCTTCTTAACTTTTGGTCCAGTTACAATCCTGTTCTCATTTTTAAGCCAAACTGGACAATTTTCACTCATGTGTATCTGTTATGCCATTCCACTGGCTCTCAACACGGAAGCCATCTTACATAGTAACAATACAAGAGATATGGAATGTGATAAGAAAGCTGGAATCGTGACGTTAGCTATATTATTAGGACATACTGGATCTTATATATTGTTTTCTCTTCTCCTATTTATTCCTTATTTAATGTTTGTGTTACTGGCAATTCACTATACAAAATGGATGTTTCTACCTGCATGCTCAGTATTTTTAGCTTTTAAATATGAGAAAATGTTTCGAAGAGGGGAGCTATTCTATTTGCCAAAACATATCGCTAAGTTAAATCTAGTCATGGGTGTGCTGTATATTGCTGCCTGTTTATTTGCTTCTAAAGATGATTTGCCCAAATTATTGTGATGCTGTTCTTTTTTAAATTGAATAGTCAGAATTCCCAGTCCAAAATGTCATTGTGGTGTGTATTTTTCAGAAGAACTATGGTATATTTATTCAAATGAAAAGTTAATGAAGGGTTGGTTAAGAGTTTTTTTCGAAATTTTTTTATGTGTATCAGAGACACTGATAGCATCATTCCAAATTTCAATCAGACGTCTCTGGTTCCTGCAATTTCACTAAAACTAAGTGTTTGATGACATCACTTATTACAAAAGGTCTTATATGATGAACATATTTTGCAATAAGTAACGACATCAAATCAAACACTTCATCTTATTGGAATTGCAGGAACAGACGTCTGATTGAAAATTGGAATGGTGCAAATGATACACTTAAAAAAATTTAGAAAAACCTCTTTACAATCCCTTTAAGTTGGTCTAAAGACAAATTAATATAATATAATTTGAAGGGAAAGATAGCTGTGTTTAAAACATTATTTTTGATTTGTGACCATTCTTGGGAATCTCATGTATTTTTAATTCACAGTGCAATTAAGACAGTTATATATTTTTAAGAAATTCATTACATTTGCCTAACTACCAAATAATTAATGTTTTCCATGTATCTTTGTCATATTGTTTAAAGTTTGATGTGTTTTCTTGTTAAGACTCCTATATGTAGCTCAGTTATGCTCTGAAATGTGGCTGAAAGTCAATCTTCATAGCTTTCCCAATTCACGACTTTAATGTAGTCTCGATCCTCCAGTTAAATTTATTCAGCTTGTTTGATTAGAGCTTGATGTAACAAGTTTAGTTTCATAATCTGAATTTTAGTGCCAAGATATCCTTGTTTGAAATATTCTCATTCTATTTTAATGTACCAAGTGAACAGTTTAGCCAAAGGCATTGTGTCATGTCAAATCTGTCTTTATTCAGCAGGATGTAAAATTCCAATTTATATCATTTTGTCTATAATCGAAGATGAACATTTCCAAATTTCATCTATTGTCTGAAACACTGCCCACCCAATTCCTCAGACAGGATAGTGACTATCAGAGATGTTAGAATTTATGGAGAATTTATTTAGACACTACCTCTGATCTTAAAGCTTATATAATAAGACTTGTGCTGATGTAAAAGTTTCAATGTTGTGAGAAAGTGAATGTATGTTGTAGAATCATGATTAAATTATTTTTCAAACAGAATTGCTTTTGATTTGACAAGGAAACCAACCTCTTGGCATTTATCTTTTCACTTACAGCTTTATTGATGGGAATAATGCAGAAAAATGACTGATCAAATACGATTCTTGCATAATCTCATGGAATTAACTTATCCCAGATAATCTGTACCCATTTACAGCTAGGCCGATTTGAATAATGAGCAAAGATGACTTATTCAAGGTTTAACTTTTACACTGTCGGAAGTTAGAACCCACGACCACCATCAAAATCAAAGAATGGACATTGAGGAAAGAAAAATAGATTTATTAACGATCAATGAAATTTAATGAAAAATTAATAATACATATAAATATACAAATTGTGTAAATACAATGTAATGTCATTGTAATTGTTTCTAGATTTTGTTACGAACTTTTGATGCACATGCATAATAAATAGGTCATAATAAATAGGTCATTAATAATAAATGTATAGCACTATGAGTTTAATATATACAATAGAGAGGTTATGCATTACTATAGAAGCAAAGTGCTGTTCAATGGATATAATCTAAGGCTCTTGAGAGCTAAAAAACCTCCATGAGCAATAACAAAAAATCCATCTAAGCTTATTCTAGAAAAAGCTCACTACAGTAAAACATCCTCGAGCCCAAAAATCTGACTTAAGCTCAAAACAAAACAAGCTCTTTCACAACCATATACTCAAAGAGAGTTCATGCAATTGCCCTTTAGTGCACATGTTGGGGCAGTAGCTGAAATTCATTATGTTCCAAAACTTTGTCCTAGAAACCAATTTTTCCAAAAATGTCCATACCACTTTAAATTTTCAGATATTTGAAACTAGCACTGCTCCTGTTGATTTCAAAATCTCTTCACCATATAAATCTATTTTTCTTTCATTTCTTCTAAAACACCCTAAAATAGGGGAAAATAAGACAGATTAGGTTTTGATGAGTTAGTTGCCAAGTAACAGTCAATTGACCCCCCAGGATGGATCAAAACCTTTCATGAAATTTCATCCTGAAAATTGGACATTTGAGTAACTTTTTTCCATGGTTATGAAGAGATTTTGATATCCTTGAAGGTGCATTAACAATTATAGATAGATACAGTAGACTTAAGTATCTAGATATAGTACTGTGTGCATTAGAGTTTAAAGAATTGTAAAGAGGTTTTCTAAATTCCTTTGTGTAGCGGATATACTGATCCATTTGCACCATTTCAATTTTCAGTTCGACAACATCCGAATAGGCCTAACTGTTTTACGACGTCAGAAAATACAAAGACATCATATAATGATTTTCTGACAGAAAATTGAAATGGTGTAAATAGAATCCTCTATGGCTCCTCTACATTATCCTTTTAACAATCCCTTAAATGTCAAAATACTAAATTGTGACCATATGCTGTGACCATGGGTCACATATGAAATTGTCTTTGACAATAAATTAAAGAAAACTGACTGTAACTAAGTAAAAAAATTACAACCTAATTAAACATAAAATATTTACAAATTTTAACATGAAATATTTACAATACAAATTAGATTGACTATAGAAATTATAAACAGAAAATTCTGATTAATGCCAATTAAATATTTACAAATTTATTTTTGGGTATATCACGTGTAATATACAGTTAACTCGGTCTAACAAGAACACCGATGTCCTCAATTAAAGCCTGGGAAAATTATATACACTCATCATGTAGGTGTGGTATTTAAGGCAAAGGCTTAAGCTCATGTTTTACAAGGCCACATCAGTCAGTAATATCAATGCCCAAAGCGTGATTTGGAAATTCAGATGTGTGTCACCAATAAGGCGATAACTATAGTGGCACTGACTGACAGTCCAAGAGACAAGGGAACTAGATTAGTTGGCTTCTTCGCTCTTTCCTGCTGCCTCTGAGTTTGTCCTTTATACGGGATGTACACAGGACAAATGAGAGGTTCAGAAACTTCATGTGGTGTTTTGGAAACACTCTTTTTAGGGACAGTGGCCACAGTGCTTGTATTTGGTTTCGGGGCATTTCCAACTATGTCCACCTTTTCAATATTAAGTTTTTCAATTTTTGGACATTCCTGAATATCTTTGACAAGTGATTCAACTGCTTTTGCTTTATCCAGAGATCTAATATCGGCTTTCAGAAGTTCAGTTTTTGGATCAACTGCTTTTTCCAGCATTATCCTATTCAAGCAATTTTCCTTTGATACTTTGAAAGCTTGTAATAAAGGTTCCTTAACTGGTTTGAGTTCCTTAGTTTCATGTGATTCCAGTGTTTCATGCACTTCCTGTCTGAGATTAAGATTTTCATCCAGATTCTGCTTGAAGAGAAAGTTGACAAGGTTCAAGGTCAGCCAATGAGAATGGAGTAAAGTTTTTAATTGTGAAAAATTAGTTTGTGGATTGCTTACTCTCAACTGAAAGGGACAGAAATGTCATCCACCTTTAAATTCAGCCCACTTCTGAATTCTTTGAATCTTCAAGGAGTTATTTGTTTTAAAATTCAATTCTAGAACCAGAAGACAGCCATACCAGTACTTAAATTCTAATTCCGCCATTGTTATGGAAGGATCCAATTTTTCAGCTTTTCCCCCCTTGGTTCTCAAGGCGGCACGACAGGTGGTACCAGAGAACCTCTGAAGATTGAGATTGAGATTGTAGAAGCATGCAAGATCTAGGCCTTCAATCAACAATTTCATATTTTTCAGAGCGATTTGAATAAACAACTTAAAATTTGAAAAAAAGAGCATACCTTACACGATACCAGATGAATCTGGCCTGAATTAACATAATTCTTCTTTTTATTCTGTTTCTTTGCATTGATTAAACTCCAAGTTATCTAAAACAAATCAAAAACACATAAATGGTGTTTGGTTCCTGATGTGTAAGCAAGGGGGAAGACAACGCTGGTGAGTCCAGCATGAAGAGAAATTTACAAACACAGCAGCAATAAATCCTCACACAATAACTTGTTGAGCTACATAGTACCAACTCACTTCAATGTGACTGACCAACATAAACCGTTATCACTGACCTCATGTTTTGAAGCTTTCAGTATTTCTTCCAATGTAACTGTTGTCTCTCCCACAAAATCATCAGAAACAGCATCATCTTTATCATGAACAGTTATCTGAAATCAAGTCATGAAAAGTTTTTTGAAAATCACGAACAGTTATGGATTCAAAATGAAGGCTACAATATAAACCTTTCACCCACTGAATATAAAACCAGGGTTTTGATAACATAGAGTTACTTTAGGCTGTTGCATTTATTTCATAATATTACCCTTAATCTTATTTCAAAATTTATCCTGTAAAACAGCCCATCAGTAAGAATCAGGGTTAACACAAACAACAAAAGTTACCAGCCCATGCTAGGGTAAAGGATCAAATACAGTATATACACAATTGGAATAGTTCAGGAGATGGTTATTACCTTAATCTGTTTGGACTTGTCTCCATTCCACAGTGATAGAAGGGGGATGTTGAATGGTTTCCACTGAGGGTCACTGCAGTTCAATATTGTCTACAAACAAATCACAGAAGATACGTAAGTTTTTCATGCAACTTTAAAGCATCCTAGTACTGAAGCAAAGTCAGTTAAGAGCATTAGAATGTATTATTTACTTGTTTATGAACAAATGGTGGTCGTGGGTTCTAAGCTCAGTTGGCAGGGCTAAGGAACAGCTGGTAGAATAGAATGATACAATAGTTAAGTGTTTTACCTCAGTCTTATGAAGTTGTTGCCATTTACCATCAGGACCTTGTTTATTGAGAGTTAGATAAGGGTCAGATTTTCCAATGATATCCTGAAAAATATAAAATTCAGTTTACTAAGAATTAATGCATGTGAGTGAGTGCATAATATCAACATTTAGATTTTCCAGGCAATTATACATGTGCACTATTATTCACAATTATATGCCCACTTTCCATGGATGGTTTACCAAAACTTACCCTGCTGTCAAGTTTGCTGGCTTTAAATGTCAACTGGACATAGTCCTTATTATCTTCTGTTTTTATCTGTATGTTCTACAATAGAAAGGAAATAATGCTATACTTATAAACACATCAACACCATGCAGTGTGCAATGAGGTAATTTGTGATGTGAATACAATAATCTACATTAATTAAATATTTGCCTCGCCAGAAAGAGTGTTACCTTTGGCTTTGTTTTCCCATCATTCTGAAAAGAAAAAAAGGAAAATTTAAAACATTTTAAAATGTAATAAATTTTTTCTTAATTCGAGTAGTTTTCTCTGCACTTAAAAATTTATTACCCAAACGTGATTCAAGAGTGAAATTTTTTATTGCACTTGCAGATCTGACAGTGGTTTAAAATTTGTAAACTTTTTTTTTAAAATGGAGATAACCTTCTGAGAAAAATAATTCACCTGCTGTCCTTGCTTCAAAATGGATTTCTGAAAAAAAAAAGGATTGTTGATGAAAAGCTGTTAACAATCATGACCCAAGCTCGGTCCAAATAATTTATAAAGTTGACGAAATAGAAATAAAGAAAAGCTGCATTTAACACAACTTACCGTGTCAGTTTTTGGTTTAGAGGGGGTCGTCGTCTTAACAGAGATTGGAGTACTCTGAAAAAATATATTTATATATGTAACTCAAGTAACACTCTTTTTACCATTAATTTAGAGGTCTTCAGAATTTCAGATATTTTTAAATACATGTAGAATCAAGGACTTTTGGTTCCTGGAAAAAACCTTGACAAGGATTTCATATCCCAAACATGTGTAGGCAGCATTTGGTAACACTTGAAGTTTGAACCACCTGGTTCCTGGATAAGACCTACCTTATTTCTAGGTGGTAGAGGTTCTCGAGGAGTCGTGGAAATTGGATGATCATCATCACTTTCTGTTTCTCCTTCCAAATATTCATCACTATCTGTGGACTCTACTCCAGGCTGGAAAAAAACGCAGAATATTGAGGCAAATGAATCAGACTTCTATGCACCTTATTGTGCAAGATCATAATTTTCATTTCTGCTCATCATTGGGCTGATAAGTGTCAATTTTAAGCTGTGTGCAATGAGGGATATTTTGTCACACACATTATACTCTTTTTTATTTCCGTCTTTAAACAGCATGTAGCCAAGAGGGGCTCTGTTTATTTTCTACTTCAGACAAAGCTCAAATCGTAATGAATAATACACAGGATATTAACTTCAGATATGCTACAATTGAAAACCAATCGAGAACGAGCATCTAACACTATGAGCCATCTCAGTTTAATATAGTCCAGTACAACCAGTATATAATTTCAAGCACCCTATTGTCCAATGAAAGAACAGTAATTAATCAAGTGATGATAATCATAATTTCATACCTCATAATCTGGGTCATCATCACTCATATACTGTGATAAATCTAGTTTACGAAGGTGATCTAGATACGAAGGTTCGTCAGGGCTAGAAGATGAGTCGTCATCAGAAACAATATCATCATATTTACGTTTATGTTCCCCTTCGTCCGATTTATTTGGGCTCAGATCTGCAATATATATACAATTGAAGTCTTCCTACATGCTATAATGATACAGATTGGTAACTCATATGAAATGTGCAATGAGGGAAATTTGTCTCAATTCAAAGTAATCAATTTGTCCAAATCACTTTTGACATAGCAGTGAAGTTGATTTCTTATGCTACCTCTTCCAAGACCTTCAGATGTAGGTCGGTGTATATCTTCACAAGGCAAGCTCTTACAAACTTGGTCTTATACCTTGACTGCATCTTTCTGGTATCACAGAATGCAGTGATTTGATTGGATCGTACAAGAAAGGTGACTATTGCAGTCAAGGTGAAGTTCGAAACAGTTTGTTATTGTGAAGATAGCCGCGGGTATCCAGAGTAACCCCAAGGGTAGCACCACTGATGTAGGTGAAGCAAATACATTTTGTTATATACCTTTCAGACTAGGATCAATATTTTTCAGGAAACTTCGCGTGCTGAAGAAGGGCAGAATTTTATCTAAATGAAGAAAGCTGACAAGTCGTTTGCTCCAGGATTTAATTGTTGATCTTTGAACACGTTTTCTTGGCGATACCTGAAAAAATACAAGTTTCTCAATGTCTATTATTTTCTGCCTTGCTGAACCAATTTGCTGCTCCAGGAAATATTTCAGACGCTTGATTGCTCACCTTGGGGTGTGTTCAGAAATGAAATGAAATGCAGATAGTAGCATCAGCACCAACGGGCTATATAGCTCCATTGGGTGTACTCAGAAAGTACTTTTTTATTAATGTTTCCCCATTGGGTGCCAACGTGGAAATCCGACATGGCAATAAATGATAAAGACTAAACTTACCTTGCGTCTATTTCTAATCTCGGCAGCTTTTTCAGGAGAGAGTCCATTTTGTTTCCTTGTTTTTTCAGCAGCGTCAGCCAGAAGAATGTGGATCCATAAATGTAAGGTTTGCAGGAATCTTGTCTGAAAGTGAAATGAATAGGAATGGTAAACAAGTAGAGTTCAGCTTTTGCCCTACTTAAATGCATCTGGTTTCCTGACTGCAATACAGGTTGGAGGGGATGTATCTGTAAAAAGCATTTAGTTCAGAGCAGAAGATGGAACAATAACCACAGTCTTATTAAATTTAGACCTAACTTCCATTCGTATTTTATTAGTTTCCTTTCGAATGTTTTATTAACTATTATCTTTGTACGTAACCACTACAGTACGGTCTAACACTGTCCTCGACTTTTCATTCTGTTAACCTTTGCTTGACCTCTGTTTTAACCAATCACGTGGCTGCCCTTTCCAGCGACGGGATAATGTGACACGAACAATAGGAGCATTCCGAGGCGTATTAGAATAGCTGACTTGATAATCTAGACTAATAAAATACGAATGGAAGTTAGGTCTAATTTCAATTAGACGGAATGAACCAAGGACCCTTGTGCTGTTAAAGGTCAGTCCATGTTAAAGGTCAGTCCATGTTAAAGGTCAGTCCATGTTAAAGGTCAGTCCATGTTAAAAGTCAGTCCATGTTAAAGCTACTACGAACTTTAAGCTATTGCAACATATTTTTTTATGTTCAACAGTCACTGTTTATTGAAATATGAGCTAAGAATGATCCCCTCAACATGTTTCTGTATAATCTATAGATGTTTCAATGTAAACAAACCATAATTTCAACTGGTAATACTACTGTATAACCAATTATTGACGATTTCCCATTTGGTTCAGTCGGCTTGATCTGAAATACATATATATATAATAAAGAACAAAGTGTTATCATGGGTTATAATCTTGGTCTGTGAAAGTCTGGTGATGAATTCGCAATATTGCCATTTATTATTTTATTCGCAACTTCTTCATTGATGTACTGGAGGGTAAAAAAGGGTGCACATTATATTTGCTATTATCCAGTATGTTTACCTTCTTATCTGGACTTCTGCTGGAATGAATAGCAAGTCGTTCTTTAGATTTCTGTTTAGGTTTAGGAGAATGATTGGTGACATAGTAAACAGAAGAGAGGATCTTGTCTGAAACATTGGAGGCCGCGCCCACTCCCCATACAGCCACTTTACCAGGTGGCGTCTGCAAAATAGTCTGAGTTTTCTTCAGACTCCAGTCACAAATTCTGCTTTTTGTCTTGCGATATATCTGAAATAAAAAAGAGTTTGTGACTAAATCAGAGTTTCAAATATGAACAGAAACATAAAAATGTTCACATTTGTACCAAGTAGGGGCCACCCAATTTTTAAGGCAATTTTTTCCTTATGTAAATTTGAAAGGGGTTAATGTCTCTGTCGAAATATTTCCGGTATCCAATTCTTGTCAGAAAAAATCTTTAAGCCAAATGGAATTACAGGAACCATCAAATGGAATATCCAAATGGTGCAATCAAGAGCTACTTGCATCTTCCAGGGCTCAAGATGTCCTTGAAATAAAACTTGCAACCTCAAAGACTCAAAATGGGCATGATGCTTGAAAAAAAACTTACATTTTTGGGAGACTTTCTAATAATTGGGTAGTTTTCTTTCAGCCTCTTAAAATAATCCAAGGCACTTGTTTCTAGCTCAGCTGGAAGAGATTTGAGACAGATTAAAATGATCGCCAATAAATTGGGCTCAAAGGTGGTGAGTGGGATGGTCGTTAGGACACAGTTTAGATAACAAGTACACAGAATATGAGATTTATTTTCCATTGTGAACATTGGATGCACTAGACTCCCGAGACTGTGGGTAACATAGAGAGAAGACTGGCTTAATGGACTTCAAGGTCAACAACAAGGTCAAAGTAGTAAAGTTACATATTTTATGCCAAACATCTATCACCTTCCGTGAGTAATAACTGTACATATAACAATGGTCCAAGGCTGCCAAAGGAGTGATGATGCAGTTTCACAACAATCATTGACTCTTAAATAGATCTAACTATAAACGGCATGATAAAAAAAAGTAACGATTACTTTTAAAGTGAAAACAGCTCACCTGGTCTACCAAATAAATTGACAACATGACCTCCAACATAGCTACAACTATTCTCTACAGCATTCAAACAAAACTGCAAGACACTGTTCCGATCCTTCACATTGCTGTAAACATCACACAAGCTAGACACAGTGGGCAAGTTCTTTAGTTCCGATTTAAGGCCTCTTCTTTTCTTAAAATCTTGAACCTCCTTGGCCATGGCGGTGAAAATCAACGCCGAGTCTTCTAACTAGTTGATGCACGTGCGTGTAGACGAGTGTATTCTATCCACTAACGTCTAGTAATAATCTGAGGCTTCCCGTTGCTGAAATCTTTTGGAATTTTCCATTTTATTTCCAAAGGGGTGTTGGTAGTTCTGGATGGACAAGATCACCAGCCTTTATCATCAAAATATATCATGGCCAATTGCTAATTTGCACGTGCATCTTTAAAGGACTTGTGCAATGGAATGAATTTGAACCTCAATCCATCTTCATTTGAAAAACAATGATAATCACGTTCCTCCCTTCCCCATCCCACCCTCAAAATCAAAAGAAACTCACCCAAATTTAGGTGAACTTGATTAACAAATTCAAAGGAAGTTCAAAGGTAAACATAGACTCAATAATCAAGTCTATTATAAGGCACGTGCATTGTGTATCGGGATTAACCAGTATGTTAGCAAATCATAGTGAATGCATATGACCAAATGTCTGGTTAGATGGTATTTGGTTGAGAAGGCAAACTTTCAAGAGGTTTGATCGGATCTGTGACTGTTTGTTCTTACTTTATACTGATTGGGTAATAATATATATATGCTGTAGCAATTGATAATTGAGCAATTGCTGATATACACTGGATATATCCATTTGGATGCCTGTCAATTATTAGACAACTGTTTTATATGCCTACCTTTTAATATAGCTGTAAATTGGCTATATTTAAGCCTTGTTTTATGAGAAAATTTCCCTTATTGCACACAGGTCAGGTCAGGAGGAGATAGGTAGGCCCACATATCTACTTCATTTTTTTTCATTTACTGTTTCATTGATGATTAAATTCTGTGATATTTTTTAAGGTAGAGAGAGCGAAAGAAGTAAAATGGCTGACCAAGGTCACATGAAAAGCAAGGCAATGATTGGTGGAATGAGTGGGAAATTCCCTCAGTCTGAGAATCTGCAGGTAATAAGTGAATTTATTTATCTATCCAATATACTTTTCATAACTTTTCATCCGGTCACCAAAGTCTTACATCATGCACTTTGCCCCTATATTGAATCCTTGCAATACATAACAGCAATATGAGTAGGCTGATGGTTTGAATATCTCCATCATTGTATATTATCTAAATTGTATATTTCTTCTCTTGTATATATTCGATCCTTGTATATTTTCAGTATTGTATATTTCAGATATTTATATTTTCATCCAGACATACATGCAGTATCTGTTGAATATTTCCAATATTTTATGTTTCATTCTTGTATATCCATCCTTGTCTATTTCCATCCTTGTATATTTCCATTTGTTCTCATTCAGGAATTTTGGGAGAATTTAGAAAGTGGTAAAGACATGATTGGACCAACAAGATGGCCGAAAGGACTGTATAATTTACCCCCTCGAACAGGCTGTTTTAAAAATCTACATCAATTTGATGCTGAGTTTTTCGGTCTGTTAGATATTGAGGTAAACATATTATTTTTAGTTCCCATCAAAAATAATTCCTAATTTTGAAGTTAGTAAATATAATTGTGTATATGAAAACTGTTTGGACATTCCAAAGGCAGCATAAGTAGATTTTTCAGGCCCAAGGTGGACATTTAGAGTTCTTCAAGAGTGAGCATGACCTTGTTTCTAAGTTCTTGGAAAGTAAACTGATAAACAGTCTTGTCCTCCAACAGAGTCTTTTAAAGAAAGAATTGAATTTCACTTTCAGGAATGTGAAGAGTCCAATGAGTTGTTGAGATTTCTACTGGAAGTTATTTATGAATGTTTGGTGGATTCAGGGTTGAAATTAAAAACATTCCAATCAGAACGTACAGGGTGTTACATAGCTTACTCTTTCAGTGATACAGATGCCATACAGACTAGCCTGGATATAGAGGCTAGTAAAAGTAAGTTTGGTGTTTGGAAATGGAAGTCAATTCCAGCTGCATATGCTATTTTGCATCTTGCTGAGCTTTAAAGTGACTGGAGCCTATCTCACACTGCAGTTGTGTGTGTTTCTGATAATCAATCCTCATCAGGACAGATAGTTTTGGTAAATGAATATACTCTCAAGACCGCAATTTATGCATAGGAGCAAATATCAAACTGACTGTACAGTAGGAAGAAAACCATTTTGTACTCCAAAATCTTAAGCTTGCAAAGTATTTAAGACACAAAAGCCCAAAAAACTCTGAGCATGTTTTTGATTTTGTCTTTTTCAGTTAATAGTGGACCATCAATATTAAGTTCTGTAGTCCGCCATTTTGGTTTGACCGGTCCTGCTATTACCATAGATACGGCTTGTAGTTCCAGTCTTTCAGTATTAAACAGAGCTGTACGCGATTTGACACTGAATCAATGTAGATATGCTATCGTAGCTGGTAAGTGTGTAACAACTAGTTCTCCTCTGCCAGGTTCTGTACGACTTTCAAACAAGAAAAGTAACATGGAGTTGCCCCCCTCCCCTCCCACTCCAAATTTCTTCCACACATGCATGCATGATATTAGTTATTTCTATAATTAAATAGGTACGTCCATAATTGATAACCCCAATGCCAGCTTGAGATTTCTAAGACTAAATATGTTGAGTCCCAATGGAACCAGCAACGTCTTTGATAAAAATGCTAATGGTTATGTTAGAGCGGACGGCATGGCGGCCATTTTACTTGCAAGGTACAGTATATTCAGATTTATTGTTTTATCATCCTTCAAAATATATAACTTGAGGTCTTTCTGAAGGGCTAAGTTGACAAGCTGACAAACCCATTCACAGAGTGTCATTAAGAATTCTTTGATCCTTTTTGCTGTTTGGGGCTTAATTATAGGCAATAACTTTTTCCTTGATCGACTGTACCATGAGTCAGCTTGAATAATGAGTTAAGATAGGGTGCCTTGTTTCCCAGAGTTTTATTGGCATTAGAATATAAAGCTCAATACCACGAGCATTGTGCACATTCATGGATGAACTCAATTCCATGAGAGATCCAGGTTTTTCAAATAGTCTAAGCAAAGAGACTTAGCGAAATTCTTATGGAACAAGTTTTGAATTTGTAATTTTGTAGAAATAATGAAGATTTAGCCAGGGTATATGCCTCGATTGTTAATGTAGGGGTCAATTGTGATGGCTATAAAGTTGAAGGCAAGTAGAAATGAATTTATTTTTAATTTCCTGAGACTTAACACGTTTCAATTTTCTATTTTTCTGTTACCTTAATGGATTGATGAAGACAATATATGCTGTGTACAATGGGAAAATTATTTCAAGAACGTTGGCACTTATGACTCTAATGCTAAACACGCCTAATTGAAAGCAGATTGAAAAAAATATATATCAATTCAAGTTTTGTTGAGAGAGGGATTTTGATTTTGAAGGAATTTCATTATTTGGGTAATTTTCCTCATTATCTTCTGTTTTTTTTTATCAGGAATAACTTACCCTAGTTCCCAGTCACAGGCTAATCTACTTACCTCCCTTTACCACGATATTTCCACCAATCAGATTGCTTATGTGGAGGCTCACGGAACTGGCACACAGGTAGGTCAGTCTTAACTGAATTATAGGAGAATCAAACATTGAATTTGAATTTTGAAAGGTGATACAGGTATTTGAAATTGTAAAATATTTAGACGTCTGTTTCTCTTTATTACTTTAAAAAAATTCTTTACAGGCTGGAGACAAGAATGAAGCCCAGTCTTTAGGAACAGTTCTAAGTGAGGGCAGACCTTCACCTCTGTTAGTTGGATCAGTTAAAAGTAATATGGGACATGGTGAAGCAGTTGCTGGTAGGTTAACATGATTTAAGAGTTATTTTTTGTAAAAATGTCATGATTGCTTATATCCAAGAAGTTTTCTGGTACATGTATATGTATTTTGGAGGCTATCAAGCAAATGTATCAGCTGCAATAAACTGGATGGTCAAAGGTTCTGACCGGTCGGGTAAATGATAAGATCTGATTTTGTGATTTTGAAATCTAGGAGAGTTTGAGTAGACCCCTACCAGATCTGGCAACAAAATTGATTTTTCAGTCTGCAGTCATGATTACTTAATCCGTTTTTTTTTGTCGCCAGTCAAATTTTATCAAGCCTGAGCCATCATTTGGTCAGAATTTGAAATTTGTTTCCTTATTTCAGGATTAGCTGGAATAATAAAATGTCTGCTATCAATTCATCACGGCAGAATTCCTGGCAATTTGAACTATAAAATCCCAAATCCAGAAATACCCCAGCTACATAATGGACAAATACACGTGGTGGATAAAACCATAGATTTACCAGGTAAGGATTAAATGACCCTCAAAAGCACTGGCCATGGCTTCAGAATTTTCTTTTATCCTGAAGGAATTCGAACCCAGAGCACATTATAGATATAGATTTTTGGCCAACTCAAGAATTCAGCTCTGTGTGCTGCAGGCTGTGCATTGAGAAATTTCAGTGTAGAACAATGCTTCTGTATTGAAAAATTACCCTCATTGCACACTGCAATGTTTCCTTATTCAGCTGTGGCTCTACAGGCATGAAAGAGTATTAAACTCCATGTTTATTTTCAGAGGGCCTGATCGGAGTAAATAGTTTTGGATTTGGAGGAGTAAATGGCCATGTTGTTTTAGAACCCTATAAAAAGAAAAATGGCTGTAAAAAAGGTTAGTCTTCAAACTTCACACGTTAACCAAGATAAGATTTCATGACCATCATTAGTCATCGTAATGAAGCAAATGATGTTGATATTCAAACGTCCAAACCAACTGTGTTAGAGTCTGTCCTTGATTAACTATTTTGACTTCATTTTCAGATCATGATGTTTCCATGGTTACAATCACTGCTCGTACGCAGTCTGTAATGGAGGATGTGTTAACGTTTATTAAAAACAACTGTAACTATCATTGTCTGATGAACTTCATCAATAAATCTCAGATGTCGTCAGAACGTCGGAATCCATTCAGAGCTTTCCTTAATCTTGGTACATTGAAAGGTGGGTTTGGGGGTTTTTTGTTCCCAATAGTTTTGTGGGGATGCATTGGGAATCCAACTGACATTAGGAACTTCGTAATCCATAAAGAGCAGTTTTTAATCTCACTACAGTGAAAGGTGGGTTTGATGAAAATTTGTAATGAAAATGTTTTGATTTGATTACAGAAGGTTATGAAATTCAGGAGAACCTAGAAGAAGATAGAGGCAGTGTATGCTTACTGATAGATATCCCTTGGTTTAAAGCACCAGTATCTCCAGCTCAGGATCAGCTGAAGGTGATTTGGACACTTTTTTTTCACAATTGGTAGTAGTCAATTACCCCCTTGACCTAAAAATAATAACATTTGTTGAAATAAATTTCAGATGTTAAAGAAGATCAGTAAGGCAGACCATTGGCTGAATGAACTTAACGAAAATCAACCAAGTTGTAAAATCAAACTGGCTTTAGGTAATAAGTTTTTATGGGTATGCATAATCTGGGAAAGATCATTGCTAAAAGGTTTGGCCAAGGACCAGCAGATAGAAAAGACCCTTGTGAACCTAAGTTCTTCTCCCTGTTAAAAATGGTTGATTCACTCTTTCTGAACAGGTTTGATCAAGGCGTTAAAGATGTGTAATATTGAGTGTGAGAGAGTTATTGGTAGTGGTCTAGGTGAAATCGTAGCAGCCTATGTTGATGGTTGTATTGATGAAGAACAATGTCTTCAAATAACCAACGTGATTTCAGAATGTGTAACCCAATGTGATAAACGTAAGTCATATTTCTCAGGGAAGAGTTGGACAAAATCTGGAAAATAATATCTTTTTCTCATTAAAAGGTTTTCATTGAAGTGCTTGCCATCTTTTTCAAAGCCCAAACATTTTCATTGTTCCAGGATCTATTTTAGAAGAAAGCACCCTTGAAACACAGGCAGATTTCGCTCTTAGCAAGTCAGAGACACTTTGACTGTTGGAGTTCAAAGAATAAATTTTCCTGCCAAAGCTTTCCCTGATCAGACGTCATAAAAAATCTTATGATTTTTATCCTGATGTTTTTTTTACATTTCTATTTTTCAGATTATCCATTTTACGAGTTACATATCTCTATAAATATGGCCTACCAACTTGGTGCTAAGGTTAAACTTGTGTCCATCAATAAAGCTGATGAAATCATCGTCATGGTAACAGCAGAGGGGAAGGAGAAAATTAAACAAATATTGAAGAACATTCACATGAAAGGTTGGTTTCCATCCAGGACTGACTAGGAAAAAATACATCTGACTGAGCATGTACATCTGACTGAGCATGTAAGAAGCCCTCAACAGTCTAAACTTGAGTAATATACTTCTGCTCTCCTGGGTCAGGAGTCTTGCCAAATTTTATTGTCTTCATTCTCTTGAACTGTAGCAGAAAAGCAGGATGTAAAACTCCATTTCATATCTGAACGTTGATTTAATTGTTTCAGGTGGAGTGTACAAGTTTATTGGAAATTTCCCTCCAGTTTTCAATCAATTATTTCAACCCTTTATCAAAGATCTGGAGGAAAAATTGGATTGTGTTTTCACTCAAACCAAATTAAAGTAAGACTCCTGTAACTGAAGACCATTTGCAAAACAAATGGATGAGGCTGTTGGCTGCTGTACTACAGACTGCAGATTAGAGATTCTTTGACAGTTGGAAATAGAAAAAGAGCTGACTAATACTGCTGTCATGGCAAAATTTCCCTCATTGCACACCTCATGGCATTGTCTGTTTTCATTTGACCAAATCATGTGTAGTAGGATGATAAACTCATTTCTAGCAAACTTTCCTCCATTGTGCATAGCATGCCTTCTGCTTCCTTTTTAGTGGATTATCAATCTCATTTTCAGATCAAGTAAATTCCTAGCTGGCAGTTGCTATTTGCCACTCAGTGATAAAGACCTGCCAAGTTGTAAAGTAGATGCTAAATATTTCACTGCCATGCTGACGAAACCATGTAACATACATCGCTTGATGGAATCATTGCCAGCCGATACCACTATCATTGACGTCTGCACAGTGTCAGATTGTAGTCATAGAAACAACAATCTGAATCTGGAGCAATATTCCCGAGTTCACTGCTCGCCGGCATCATTAATAGACTCTCTTGGATATCTCCATTGTAAAGGTATGAGTGTTTGCGATAATTCTAAAATTGACTTGTTGTGATAAAACTGTTTTCAGATGTGTTGATTTCCACCAACATTCCAGAGTTCATCACTTTGACCTTGAATGAGCCATCTTTTCTCATTATTCCAATCCACTTGACTGTAATTGGGTATAGATAATCCAGGAAATATCAATGCCAACAGAATGGCAGATGACAAGCTGGTAGACAGCATCATGGTCAACCTAAGTATCATTTCTTGTTTTTCTAGGTTTTGAAATTGATTTGAAAGAAGTAAACGACCAATGTGATAGTCTGCCATTAGATTGTAAAACGCCACCTATCTGTAACCTGGTTGGATGGGATCATTCCGTAAAACATAAAGTATTTGATTGGTTCTATTACTCGGCACAAGGTAAGGTTCCTGCAAATCGGTATTGATGGAATTGTTACTCCTTCCAGAACTCTGGTACTCTAAAATATTTAAAAACTCTGACCCAATTTTTAATCCGGTTTCAGCTGAATTGGAGAAAGAATTTTTGTGTGTAGGTTATTATCCTTGCAGCCTTATTGTATATTATGATATGGCCTTGCCTGTCTTCAAAATTTTCTTCATTGCACACAGAATACCATAGTCTGTCTTCAATATCCCTGTCAGGTGTATATGCAGAAATAAATGTGCACCCAATAGATGGAAATCGGAAAAGAGAAAGCAGACAAACGGATACTGGCAAAATTTTCCCATTGCACATAGCATACCATTGTCCGTCTGCAATTTCCCTGTCAGTAGTTTAAATGTAGGATGTAAAACTCCATTTCATTTGATTTTCCTTTGCAGTAAAAGATGAGAATGAAGAAAAAGAAGAGTATTCGTTTTCTGTTGACCATGGATCTTTGATAGAATCTTTGTTAATATATCACGTCTGGCAGGCGGCGCTCAGAAAATCTGGGGTAGGTTCTAATTTCAGTTCTTCAGTGGATACAGAGTCATTGCCCTTGTATCTGAATATTAATATAGGTATGCTTCAATGATTCCACATACATGCATAAGATTTGAATGATAGTAGGTTCAAAATTAGGTGCATCAAGACCATTGGATACAGAGTTTTTGCCCTTGTATCTGAATATTGATATCACTTTCGGTGGGCACATCTGAGAAACTGATAGTGATAGGGTTTGAGGCGGACGTGGGTCAACTTTTGGAAGCACTCTCCGATGTTTTCTCTTGTCTCGGAGGATTGAAACAAACACATCTACCAGCAATGCTTGGCTACTTGAAAACAGTCGAACATAGGAAATATGTGACTATTAGATACAGAGTTATTTCCCTTGGAAGCATACAATTCTTACCTTCAACATTATTTTATTGAGCATTGTATTCTTGAGAATTATGTGTTGTATTTATTGTTTTAGATTGAAGCAAACAAATCCTTCAAGATGACATTTTATGGTGGAGATCCTAAGATTTTATGTTCGGGACTATCTAGTGTGGCGGATGTATTTATTTTACCAGGCAGTAAACAGTTTGCTCTGTCAGCTTGTGGTAGGATACATATTTTGCCATTAATTTCAGAGGAAACCCAGTGGCTTTGTCCTTTGTTAGTAAAATTGACGTCAGCTGCTCTGGGTACAATTAATCTCTTGACAAATTATTATGGCTGTCTTGTAGGCAAATCTTGTACACTGCAATTGCCAGTCTTCAGATCTCAATATGGTAAAAAGTAGGTCATGAACAACTTTCCTCTTTGCGTCTGGTACTTTATAGGAAATTATTTTTTCGCAGATTGTAAAAGCGGTAATTGTGCTCATATTGTGTATGGAGTTTACGACATTTCTGACGAAATTGAATTACCCATAATTCCTTCCTTGGATGTTGATATTAACCAAAATGTATCGAAGAGTGATGGGTAAGACAAGCAGACATTTTAACAAATTTTAATTTCTAATCAAAAGATTAGGCAATGCTTGTAAAATTATCTTTGGGGATTCCTCAGAGACATCTGTGTGGTGGGCTATCCTTTTAAGAGAGTCCACATAGCTTAATATATTATGTTATTTTGATTTAATTGTAAACTTATATTACTGACACCTACTGCCACTCTGTGATTTGGCTTGTTAATAAACCAGCATCCCATGACTGTGCAT